GCGGCCCTTGAGGATCGTTGAGGCTGCGTACTTTAAGGCTGCAGACCCTGAATTGGGATACAGCCATACACACATATTTACATGTTTCTAAGAGTTTGATTACCAAGCTGTTACCAACATCCTGCACCATGTTCTTGTTCAACATGGGAAAAACACAAGACTAGACACAAGGATTGAAGCCTTTGGTGTTTATTAGATAAGCCACATGCATTATCATCCCTCAATACAATCAGATTCTGCTTAGAACTGCATTCAAAACTACTGAGCCAATATTTTCAGCTTATATGGCTGAAACATTTTCAAATGATGAGCTTCGAAAAATGAGTGAAACAGTAAGAGCATGTGGAGAGTTTGGAAACATCCCATTAAGAAAGAGAAATCAAACATTTGGATTCAGGCTACGTCCACACGTACACGGGTATTTTTGAAAACTGAGATTTTCCGTTTTTGTTTAAAAAAAAAGAAATCCTGTCCACACGTAAACGCAAAAATGAAGGAAAATGCCGCCAGGAATATGCCAAAGCAATAGGTGGCGATATATTCCAAACCGTGTAGAGGGCGTCATTAATTCAAACCCTGATGCTATAAAAATCTGTGTATGCTTTGATTAAGTTGGAGATCAGTTCTTGTCTGCGAACAGGCACTGGTCTTCCCACGCGTGTATTCATTAAAATCAATTGTTTGACCAAGATCTTCTGGACCTGGTTGTTTGTACTCTCCTCCTCAATATTTGAACCTTAACAGTGGGAAAGAGTAAACAAAGATGACGCATAGAAGCAGAACTGAGTCATATGTGTGGAGGGACGATAACTGTGTGTGTATTAGTAAGCATTTCAACACTGCAGAGAATAAAATTAACAGTAACTAATTTCAGCAAAACAAAAACGTGGCGCACAGTGTGACGTCAAAATAGGCGCACACCTTTGACGTTGCATTTTCTCCGTTTTCCTCATCCACACGTAAATGAAAAAACAGAGTTTTCGAAAATCTCCACCCTGGCAGGCGTTTTTAAAAATCTCTGTTTTCAGTGACCGAAAACGCTGTTTACTGCGTTTTCAAAAATACCCATGTACGTGTGGACATAGCCTCATTTTAATGAGCTCACACTTGTTGAAAATGCAGAGGAGCTGGTTGTGAACTGAGCTTCAGTGAAACACAACATACTGAGATTCACTGTGGAGCTTTGAGTGGAAAAAGACAGAAAAACAACATGTGGATTCTGGAATAATGGGAGCTTCCATCTTTAAAGGACTGAAGAGGAAGAAGTTTACAATGAATCATTTAGAAGAGTTTCAAACATCAACTGATTGAATCCATGAATCTGAAAACGTGTTTGTGAGTGAAAGAGACAGACATGTACAGACTGAACTATCTGTTCAACAGTCAGAGTGTTTCTCTAACAGGAGACACTCTTTACACTCAACTCAGCACAGGGACACCGACGAACCAGGCCAGACATAAAATCCAGGATAAAGAGGTTCAGTGAATGTGGTGTTGAAGGTGTGGAGGTGGATCAGAGTGTCAGAGGAGACTCTGTAGAAGGACAGAGTGCCAGCAGGACAGTCCACATACACTGCTACTCTGTTATCAGAGGAGGAGGAGGAGGAAAGAACGGAAGTTGATCTATCATTGTGCCAGATGTGACGAGGGCCATCATCAGTACAGTACAGACTCCAGGATTGTTGATTCCCTCCAAACAAACAGTCAGCACTGCGCCCTTTACGTCTGATTGTTTTGTAACTCACTGATATATGAACTTGTCCTTTCCACTCGACCTCCCAGTAACAGCGACCAGTCAGACCATTTCTACACAGCAACTGAAGCTTGACTTCAAATCTGTTTGGATGATCAGGATATGACTGAACCTCCATTACATGGGTCACCTTCATGTTGTTGTCAGACAGTTGAAGGTTTCTGTGTACTGTGTTTGTGTCGATTGTGAGTTGACAGGAATCTGATGGAGAGAACAAACACAATCCAGCTGCAGTTATTGATCCATCATCTGTTCATTGATTGACACTTTGATGATGACTCCTGACTTGATGAAGATGGTTGAATGTGTGCTGCTTTGTTTTCATGAATCCCATTAAAAACACACTTACACTTCCTCAGACCTGGTCTCAACCATCGGACTCCAGCAGGCTCCACCCTGAAAGGAGGAGGGGGGCTCAGAGCAGGACAGTCTCTTTCAGCATGCACACATGGACATTACATGGCTCTCATAAACATACTGTTAGACACTGATAAAGGAACAGTCCAACATTTTCACAAATACAGTTCAATCCATACGTGGATCAAACTACTGATGATTTGGACTGATCCTGGATCTGTCAGTACACAACTGTACTGAATGAAATATGACTGTGTTACATGGAGGACCCCCGCATACACACTGTTGTCCTGTCAATGAGGGTTTATTTGGAGTTTTTATCCCAAGACTGCTCTGTGCAGCCTTCTAGCTGACTTGTGCATGGTGCAGCTCTCTCCTTCGGGCCCAGCTGCCTGCCGAAATAGCACTACTGATTACCAAATCAGTTCCAGCTGCTCTGCCAGCCTCCTGGCAGTACCCACCCTCCCCAAACCCACTGCACCACCACTCCTCTGCAGCAGAGCCACAGACCACACCCCTACCACATATCTGCACCACCTGTCTAAGGTTGGGGAGCCATCAGGACAAGCCTACATCCAACGAGCATCTGCACCACTGGCCTATGGACCACCTTGAATTTAAAAAGCTGCAGGGCCAGATACCACCAGGTTAACCGCCCAATGGCTTGTCGTACACCCCTCCACAGTGCTATATTTCTGGCCGTTCTCTCTAATAGGTTTCCAGCTGATGTATATGGCAGGGCGCTGGAACCCCCTCTTACCTATTGTGACAAAATAGCCCCCGGCTATCTGATCGAGGGATATGTCTGCAGAAAGTAAGGGAGTGAACAGTCGGAGTGTGAAGCAGGGGTTTCCCACAGAGAGGCTTCTTTACTTGCACAAACACTGCCTGGTACTGTTCCATCCACTGAACCAGATCTGTGTCACCCTTTTGGGTGAGAGCAGTCAAAGAGCTAGTAAGCTAGTCAGTCAAACTTCACCTTGAACCAGCAGTAGTAACCGGCAAGCCCCAAGAACTGCCTCACCCCTTTTTTGGTCTTGGGATGTGGCAGGATACGATGGCTGTTGTTTTCTCTACCTGCAGGTGCGCCCACCTCTCACGTTATGCCCCAGATACTTCCTTCTTTTCGCATATTTCTTCAGGTTGGCCACAAGCCCTACCTGCCTCGGAGTCTCCAGGATCACAGCCACCCACTGCACACTTGCAACCCAGATGACATCATCATGGATGATAATACCATCCATGTAGACGGTACCATGCCAAGTATGTGGATGCAGCATCTGGTGCTGCTCTTCGCTCCCTCAAATATAACAGAACACTTGCACTAATGATAGTTTCATAAGAGCAGATGCATGCTGGTGCAATAAGCTGTACGTTTTACGTCCAATGGATGCATGACCTGATTAGTTGACTAACAATTGGTGTCTAGTTGACTATCTAAATAATCGTTTGTGGCAGCCCTAGTCCATGAGGTGCTGGAACGTGGCTGGGACTTTGATCAAGCTGAAAGGAAGTGCTACAAATTGTTAAAAACCATAACCAAATTTCCATAGCAACCTATCCTATCACAGAATTCATAGCGCGGCCCACCCAATTCCAGTTTCCAACAATGGTGGCAGCTACTTGTTGTAATATTACTCCAGGGAACTGGGAAATATCAAACCAGGGAACTTTCCACCATTTGCGCTAGCATACAATCTGTGCAGGGGTTTGCAAGTAGCCAAAGTTGTGCTAGCAACATAAGTACTTTTTTTTGTCCTGGATATAGTTTGGACTTTAGTATTATGCTATTACCCTTTTGTGCAATAAAAATAAAATTTGCCCACACTGTAAACTGTCCTGCTATTTTCCTCTGACAACTGAAATCAGCTGATTATAGCGCAAGTGCATGAGGCGATAAGAGAGATTGATAGGCAAGCAGACCTTTGATTCCAAGAAATTTTACTACTAGGAAACGTTTCTTGTACAGACCCAGTTCTCGATTCCCATCCGTAATGGCAACAGGTTAATGTTGCGGTAACAATTATTGAGTCTTAACCTGACAGTGGAAATTGAAAATAGAAATATAGTGAAATGTGTCAGGCAGAGTTTACTGATGGAGCCGTGATATAATTTACCCAGGCAGCAACACACAGAGTGATCTACACTTTAGTTATTTTTTTATTTTTCTATTTCTATTTATTTTCTTCTTCTTATCCATTCATTGTCACGGAGGAAAGCTGAAGCCTTTCCCAGCTGTCGTAATAAAAGAGGTGGGGTACACCCTGAACAGGTCCTTCATTAGCATGCTGACCATAATGATAGCCCTGTGCATCCTTGATTTTAGCTAAGAGCAATTTTGTATCTGTCACGGTCTTGGGTCTGTGACCCAGTGTTTTGATTTTGTATTATTGTTTATTAGTCCGTTTTCTTCTTGGTTCATGTTTGCTAGTGTTTTGGTTTCTGCTTTGTATTTCTTAACTTTTGGATTCCTTTGTCCCTCATGTCCCTCTGGTTCCTGTACTCTGTGTTCTCTCTATTCTGTCAGTATCGTGTTTCTGAATTCAGTCAGTGTATTTCCCGTTTTACGTTGAAGGTCCATGTCTGATATCAGTGTGTTCAGTTTCACTCCCTCACTGTTTCGTCACATTCATTAGGTTCGCAGAGAGTCCTTCCTGTGTGTGGTTTCCTCGTTTCCATCTGTGTATTTACAGGGAGTGCAGAATTATTAGGCAAATGAGTATTTTGTCCACATCAACCTCTTCATGCATGTTGTCTTACTCCAAGCT